GTTTTTGGTACAAAAATTTATGACCAATTTCACCGAGCAACCAGTCATTCTCTAGTTAGGGAATACACTGATTGGTTGGCCATAGTTTTTCCAAAGGGTCTCATGGCCTGTGTGACCGAGGCCTAAAATGAAAATCAGATTATATCAGCTGTAGCTATCTAGCTAGATAGCTGAAAACTTGTCTGAGAATTACATAAATTTTTTATGCCATAATAATATATTATAGACTAATTTTCTAGGTAGATATGCATTACATCAATATATACTCTAAATTCCAGTCATAATTCCCACACATTAAATATATTTGTTCTCAATTAGTGTCCTTTATTTTCTTATTTTAATCAGTACATGTTTTGCTAGTTTATAAGAATTGCCTTGGTTTTGATTACGAAGCTAGTTTCAGCCACTCCCTTGTTCATAAGAGGTCAACACAGCGCATACATAAACATGTACATACATGCATTTTACATACTTATTGCTCTTTCTGACACAAGCTCTAAGAGATTTGTTTCCGTTAGCTAATGAACCAAGCATGCTTACATAAGGTTTTGGAAAAATAAGTCATTGCAACCACACACGCATCATTTAAGGCTTGAGAGGCCTGTTGTTCATTGTCTCGGTTGCTAAGGTTTGACTCGACTAACACTGAAGAAGAAAATTAGCTTACACATCATTAAATCTTGCATATTATATTATGAATATAAGTGTTCATTTAATTAATATCTATTGCACCTTTTAAGTAAACATAAACTGTTCATAGGATTCTGGTGACAAGTTAATTAGACGACGGATGTTTTTAGTTGAACTTAGTAGTTAAACCTGCAAATGTATCTGGAACCATTGTTTTTATCTTATTTTTCTCTTCTTGTTTTCTTCGCTTAGTGAAAATACATTTTAATAATACATCAACACCTCGTACACAGTAACACCAATCCTAAATATGGACTCTTCCTGTGAACTGAAACCTTTTTTCTGCTTTCATAGATTAAAAATATACTCCTTTTACATTTTCATAGGAAGTATTTGCAGAAACATTTCCAAAGCCCGACTAAAGCTTTTGATTTTTCTTCCCCAGCAAACACTGTAGATGTATAATATTTCTGTACAGTTCTAATGAGCATCATTACTCCTGCATTGATGCAGTGCCAAATGAGCTCATTGAATTTTTAAAAAGGCACAGTTATTTAAAGCAAGTGATTTGAACATTAAATCTGCATCAAATATCTTCTTGAGACTCACATCACAGCAATTAAACATATTTCCTAAGCCCATTAGAAATTAAATGGATAGTGGTGGGGTAGGGTAGGTGCTGATTAAAAGAGTTCTATAAACTTGGAGAGGAGGGAATAATGTACTGGCATTCCCTATACTGACTGAATCACAAAAAGCTCATCTGAGAGGACAGCAAGTTCAGCCGCTTTCATCTCAGCCTGAACAGATGGTAAGTGTACACAGCATTACTAGAACCAAGTCATTTTTAAACAACCTACTAAGATCTTTATCACTGAATGTGTTTACGAGTGTAGTAATCCATGCTGAATTCATCTGCTCAGAGCAAACCCCTTTCTTACGTCAAAACCCCCATCAAAGTGCCACACATCACGTTTGTATTTTTTCTCCCGGTATCTTTGATTCACTGGAGGTACATCAGGCGGCACCTGTGCCGAAGAATTTAATTTCTTCAGCGGATGCTAAGAAGCGACTCTGTTCTATTAGAGGGAGCACACTGTTCAGGACCATCGCTGTAGTCCAGTGAGCAAGAAATCTTGGCAAGACAAACACGATAAGCTCTGCCTCTCCTGAATCTTGACAGAACGCTGAAATTGTGTGATTGTTACAGGAGTGAAAATCCCTCAGGTGAAAAATACAACAGCGTAGCTTCACAGCACCTCACACTTATTTGGCAGATATGAGTCTGGACATGTCACAACAGCACTGCAATACATGGGAACAGCAAAATTAAAAGACCTTCTTTGAAATCCAATTTTCATATACTATTCATAAGATCCATATATGTTATTGTTTTCTGCTATAAGACTTCCTCAGTTCAGCAAATTAGCTTCAAAATTGGCATTTTATCTTTAGAAAATTAGCTTTTTATGTCAGCTTCTTCTAAGAAGACTGAACATCAGTTGGAAAATACAGTAACAGCATAAGCATAAATAGCAGGTACGGCCATAAATGTCAGCAGGAGATGGTTGATTAGATGCAATCTGAGTTTTAAATGAAACATCTGGAAAACGAGCTTAAAAGAGACAGGATACTATAAGGCAGATGCCAGAGGCAGTATGATACATGTGTTATCACCTCATATTTTATTCTGGAAGGACATACTGTGTTAGGAAAATTATTAAGATATAACATCTATCACTCTGACACATGACTCGGGGAGCAAATTTGGGGTGTGAATGGCTAAAAAGCTCATTTTCGCTGTATGTTAGAGCACTAAAATAATCTAAAACAAGGCATCATTAACACCTTCCAAACACCTTTGTACAACACTTAACTTTCATCCTGCTGAATCTCGCCTGTCGTCTCATGACGTCAAAAGAGTGAGAGACAAAAAAAAAATTATGATTCACACGATTAATTTTTCCAAGAGGGAGAGAAACACAAAGGTGAAAAAAAAGTGAAGAGAACAGACTTAGTGGTTAAAAGTACACTGACCTGCTTATGTTACAGCAACAAAGGGCTGCCAGTCTGCAGGGTGCAGACTCAATAGCCAAATACTACAACAGGGCAGAAACACATGTAAGTCGCATGTTAGTCTCTAACATTTATTCAGTGATCAGAGCTTGTGAGGCAGGGCAGTTTCTACAAGCAATACTAACTCGACACAAGACAAGTGACATAGAAATGCTCTGAAGACAAGACACAGTGTGATAGCTTAGGACAAATGAATTCCAGGAGGCTAACATGCAACACACACAGACAGTCCATTATAAACCAACACAGACTTCCCTTTTCTGCATGTTCTCCTCTTTGAAGAAAATCAACTTAACAAGGCTGTTTTGAGTGGCTCGCTTGCTGCATCACAATTCACTTCCTAAAGCCAGGTCTGCACAGAATACAGTCTGTTCTGAGCTTATCGGGTAGGCAGATTTAATGCACCTCTCGTTCCAGTTTTACCAACAAAAAACAAACGAACAAAAGTAAAGTCATTGTGGAGTAAAATGAGTTGCTAGGAGCTGTAGGTCACGGGCACAGATTGAACAGCTGTACTCCTAGCACAGGCTGCAGCTACAAGCAGGGCGCACAGTGGAAGCAGAATCAGTGCAACGCTGCAGCTGACCACATCAAAGGCCTCAGCTGTGGGAAGTAAGGGAGAGAGGAAGGGACAGTATGACTCCCACAGCAGTCTTACTCCAGTTTGTGGAGCAAATATTGGTAAAACAGGACTTTCAGCTGGTAACGTTTACTTTCATGTAGCACTGTCAGAACGCAAGCGCATCAGAACATAAGAAGTAGGACTATAGGTGGATAGTTAACATAAACAATTTTAAAAAAAGCTATCTTATCATTAAGTTAAAGCAGTAACTAATTTATGTTCTTAAATACTACATGGTTTTAAGTGGTTGGTGTCAGGTTATCCCTCCATCTGTGCATCCTTTCATGTCATTAGGAATGCTCAAGAGTGTCATGATTTGTTAGACTCCCCAGAGCTACGCTGAGGTCCCATGGCACCCCAGCATAGCATTCAAACAGTATTTGGAAAGAATGACATTTTATTCAGGTGTCAGTCAAATTCAGATATTTTTACCTCCTAACTTGTCACTGAAAATGAATGTTTTTTGCAGTTAATCTTTATTACAATAGAAATGTATTCACTTATTATAATTATAAAATTATGCAATATCGCATTGATTTGTCAACATTCGGATCTTTTGGTTGTGTATTATTTTATTATCTTGACATTTTGTGTGGGGGTTTTTATGTAAAATACTTCCTGTATTAAGACTACTTAAATAGGCAGAGCTGACCTTAGGACATGCGCTCTACTTTGGCACTGGATGTAGGAAAATGTAATTAAACACTGTTTTGGCCTTCAGCAAATGTAATGATGCTTTTTGCATCTACAAGCCGATTCGATCACAATGAGGGAAAAATGGAGCAACATTAAAAGAGTGTCCATATTTGAAATGGACCCACATTACTGAATGCCATAAAATCTGGTCAGTTAACTTTCAAACTGTGCAGCACAGATCCTATAAGAAGATCACACAAGCTATGACAGCCACAAATCTGAAATAACTTGAGCAAGCAAAAGTTGAGACGAAGAGTTTTCTGCTAGAGGCGGCAAAAAGACTTGTGTAGTGCAACTACGAACAAAGATACATTTAGGAAGAGACGCATGTAGAGACTCTGAAAATTGCACTTGCCAGTATAAGCTCTTATTGTGTGTCCTGGATGTTTTAAAGGATATTTATTAAAGAACATAATCATTTCTTTTAATAACTATCTCAAGATAAACCAAAGCTGTTTCCATCACAATAATGAGCTTGACTTCCTTTTGATTATCTTCCCTCTACTGAGCTACACCCACACCTCGTTTTCTACTTGTAAACTATACTAAGAAATAACAATAATATCTTTATGGAAACTGACAAGAACATGGGTATTATTTCAGCTCTGGAGACAACACCTTTGCTTTTGTGCTTATATGTTTTTCAACACCAAAATAAATCTTGCTGTGAAGTCATGAAGAGATTAGTGTTGCTTGACTGGTGTGGAAAATAATTTTCAGAAAGTATTGTAGCTAAGCCTGTGATCATCAGGACTATTTAAAGCAACAGTGTGTGAACTGCCGAGGGAGAATAATCTACAATGAGTACATGAGAGATATCAGCAGATGTTAGGTGTCATATTATTCAGCAGTTTGTTTTTTTGTACACAAAACTGTGTGGAACCTTTTTGCTGTATATGTAATTAATTTGCACAAAGTATATTATTTATATATTTCATCATGCATAACCATCACATCTTCTCTTCCTCTCTCGCAGATCCCTCAGGTGAGCTACGCTTCTACAGCTCCAGAGCTGAGTGACAACACCCGCTACGACTTCTTTTCCCGTGTGGTGCCTCCAGACACATACCAGGCACAGGCGATGGTGGACATTGTCAAAGCTATGAACTGGAACTATGTCTCTACTGTCGCTTCAGAGGGAAACTATGGAGAAAGCGGAGTTGATGCATTTATTCAGAAGTCCCGAGAGGACGGTAAGTCCTTCTTCAAACATTTCCACAAGCATCCCCAGGTATTTAAAATGATGTTAAAGTGGTTCTCGTTTTTGAATCTCATTTTGTCAACCACCAAAAGTGTTTCCGTTTGAGTGAGAAAGAAATTCAGCCTCTGAAGTCTGAAATTTTAAACAGTATGATATTTAAAACTGTTTAAAAAACTGCTGACTTTAAAGATTGACTTTAAACATGATCATTTTCACACAGAAGCTGGTTTTGTTGCTGTTGCATTATTCTTTGTCTTGCGTGCTATTGAGAGATGTTCATAAAACAGGTTAAGGTTTGAACTGGTTATTTCGATTTCTTAAACTGAATGAATGCTGTCAAGATGATCTGAAAATAGTTCTCAGACAGGATCAAGAGTCTGGCTTCAATTTTCTTGTTCTGGCTTTACCACTAACTAGCTGATTATCTTAAGCAGAGATGGCTAATGGCTAATGCTGTAAATTTGAACCATTTCAGTGAAATCTGCGTTTGCAACTGTTATCTCCATGGAATAATATGAGCTACACAGGTGTGCAGTCAGAGCACTGAGGGAATTAATTTTGATTATCAAATTCTGAGAAGGCTCAACAGAGTGGCAGTGAACCTGCAGAGCTAGCCTGAGGCATCATAAGGAGATAGCACTGCACAGTGCTGGGAATACAGTCAGTTTGGTGCAGCAAGCTGCCGGTACACAGTCAGCCTGACCCCTGAACTTCTTCTGTAGCAGAATGTAATCACTACAGACATGTCCAGTACTCTCTGTGCCACTGCGTCCATTCAGTTTCTGCCAGATTCAAGCTGCTGCCTATCATCAGTCTTCCTGGAAAGGCACCGACAGCAGAGCCCCCTGTGTGTCCGGCTCAGCTACCTCTTTGAACAGTCCACACAAAGGGGGAATCAAAGCCCCACAGGGAGATTTAAACTTTTCCTCTTCTTTTTTGGAAAATAATGTTTTTTCCCCACATACTTTAAATTATGTGTTTAATACTACTTAATACTGACCTTGCACATACACTGTATCAGGTTAAAAAAACCATATTACATCTTTTAAAATCCCAGACTACACATAAAAAGAGGCAATGAGTTCTGAAGTCATGCCAAGAGTGGAATCATGCTCTAAATGAATGGAAAATGAATCTCAGAGAAATGTTCTTGCACATGATAATATGTTGAGCACAAGCTGGTGTAAATGATTAGCTTCAATGTGTTAACTTAAAATAGGTTTTTCCTATATTAGAAAAACCTATTTTATAAATCTTTGGGATTCTGAGTTTATGATATGAAACATAATGAATAAAACCTGTAATTTATGTCATGTGAAATGAAATTTTGAATATACTAACATATACTTGATAATATACTGAAAGAATCTTAAGTAATCCATGATCTATATTAATCTACATAATCAAAATGATAGCCTTCTGAAATCTTATTTTTTGGGTTGTTGTTTTTTTTTTTTTAATTTACACCATCTTGGTTTAACTGAAACACTTTTTATTAACAGCTGTCATATGAAAAACAATATAAACAGTCTTGAGGCTACTTTGCACTGTCTTGAGGAATCCATTTCCACTGTTGCCACATCTTCAGTGCTCAAGTGTAATCTTGTTTTGCATCATTCCCGAAGCACATTAACAAGTCTTTTAGGAATATTGGTACTTCAGCTGGAACCTGAACCACATGGTATGGGCAAGCATTCTGTTTCTCAGAGGGAACAGACAGGTTTATCAGCTAACAGCCTATCAGAACTGTCATTCTGCTGCTTCAGATTTCAATCTATATCTTTTAACTTTCATCGGTAGAATTGCTCTCAATCACTCTTTGTCGTAAAAACAGTTCAAACACTGAGACAACTGGCTCATTTATCAAATACACTACAATGATAGAAGACAGGCTATCACAGTGGAACAGACAATAGTCTAGAGCAATGATCGTTTTAAACAACTGTAATAACTGATAACAACTGATAATTTGTGAACAGACATTACCTGAACTGGTAAAATGCTATTATATCAACATTTTTTTAGGCCTAAAGATTAACTAACCTGTTCCAAGTTGGTTATATTCAAGTTGCGTTCAACTATCATTGTTCTATATATCCATGTATATGCACTGATGTAGAGCTACAGTACCACTTGTGTTTAAAAAAAAAAAAGAAGCGTTTATTCTTATATAAATGTGAATTCTTTGATTCTTAGTCTTGTGTACTTTGATGTCACAAACGTCACTGAGAGTTAAGACATGTCAAGAGAAAGAACATCTGCAACATTTGTCTTTGCAGACATTTTGTGCGGCATCCAAAAAAACCTTGTGTTACTGTTTTTGCTGAAGGAACTGAAAGGGGGTGACTTTGACTTTCATTTTTTTGAAACACCTTCTCAAATTCAACTGTCACTTGATTTACCCACCTAAGAGACAGCGTGTGACAGAAACCATCAAGCACGCACACAAAATCAGTGTTTAAAGACAAGTACTGCTCTTTTCATTGACTCCAAATTATATATTTTTATACACATATATTATGCATATATTATATACATACACACACACACACACATATCTATAGATATCTCTCTCTCTCTATAGATATCTCTCTCTCTCTATAGATATATCTCTAGATAGATATATCTCTAGATAGATATATCTCTAGATAGATATATCTCTAGATAGATATATCTCTAGATAGATATATCTCTAGATAGATATAGATGATCTCTCTCTCTCTCTCTCTCTCTCTCTCTCTCTCTCTCTCTCT